ACGAGGGTTCAAGGAGCTAAGAGAGCTTTTATTAATTACTACGGGCTTCCCTTTTTTGGCGGAACTTGTAATTTTTTCTTACTTCAAAGAGGGAGACTGGTGCGCGTCCATTGTGAGCTGAGAGGATACTGAAATTGAATGAACTTTCACATCACTTGCGCTCCTCTGAATTCTGTAATTCACTTCAAAAAGAGCGTTTTTGTCCTCAATTTGCATTCAAGCTCTGTTCCAATGAACATAATTTATTAATTGTAGCTTTTTTCTTTTTCAAAGTTAGTAAAATATACGAAATATACTTAAATAATAAAGTTAATTCAGAAGAAAGCCTTTGAAGAATGAGTTGCAAAAATGTAAATATTTGCTACCATGGGATTATAATTAACCGCAGTATATAAATATTCACGGTAAAATGTAATTGAAGTGAAAAGATTTTGAATTTGAATCATTTTTAGTAATTTAAATACCTCTTGTTGGCATATAAATTGTTTTGAACAATAGAATGTTAATAATGAATTTGTAAAACAATGTGGAGAAATAAACGATAAAAATAAATGGATATAAAATTAACAAAGTAGTGTTTGTAAAATATTCAAATAATGAAATGAATAGAAAAGCAACGGATACAATCGTATATATGTTGGCATTACTAGACACTATGATCGCTGCACACTAGATCTCTGTTTATTTAAATAATTTATAAATTGGTTATACGTAATGCCATTAATGTTTTGCTTAAAGTACCATACTTTTTAAATAAATTATTAAAAAAATAACATAATACAATTATAAAACTCTATGATATTTTATTGTAAAAGAAATATAAAAATTTAATGTATTGTTATAATTGTGTTAAAAATAATTATAAATGTTTTTATTTTTTTAATTTTTTTTAACTAAATTTTTTTACAACACCTCTTGGTAGAAAGATTTGTAATATCATAAAGCATTTTATCTCCCCAACTTTAGTTCTGACATTATATGATTTTATTATATTGATTTAAAAATTATGATGATAAAATTAAAAAAACAACGGAAAGTAAGGAATTGCTTGCTCACAATGCTTACAACAAGGAAAGTGCATTTGACAATTTGGTCGCAGTGAAAAGGAGGCAAGCAGCGTGTGCAGCAATATTATTACCATTTTAACGAGCGGCGTCCGGCACCTCAGGTATAATTACAGGAAAAACAGCGCGCGCCGAGATGAGATTGCCTCTCGGGTGTAATGCGTGCGGCATCTCGGCAGATGACATTGCCTTCTTAATGGTCACGGACGGCTATTGGATCCGAGTGTTGCCCGGCCGTAATCAGTAATGGAATGGGCGGAAAAATGGCCTCGCAGCCTCGTGACTGACGTGCCGAACCGGCCAACGTGCAATTATCGAGGGGACACGCGGGACACGCCGGATTAGCTGCTGCTTTGGCACCTGCCGGTGTAAAAAGAGGCGCGAGTGGGTGCGCAAAAAGTGCCTGGTTTGTATTTATTTTTTGCACCGAGTTTTGTTTATCAATTTGCAAAACGACCGTTGGATTGAGATGAATGCTGACGGTGAAAACTTTCGACGTGGAGAACTTTTTCCGATGTAATTATTTCCTCGTAGATTGAGGAATAAATCACTCTCTGCGGAGAAGCAGGATAATTTAATATCTTTCCTCTGCGAGGCGAGAGACATTATTCGCGAAAAAGTGCTGCGTGTGGTGATTTTTTTATGGAGTGCAGAGAGAGAAAGAGACGAACTCATGCAAATCGCTCTTTTTTGCGCAAGCGTTTTTGAAACCCCTCCGAGGCTTAACTTTTTGCTGAATCGGAAAAATGCGCGGGAAAGAAACTTAATTAAAAAGTGCATTAGGATTGAGAATCCGCCACTGGAGTGAGTTTAGAAACGATAATTTCCGACCGGCGGCTTTTCCGCGTAAACAAATTATCTTGATGGATATGTTTCCCTCTCTTCTTCCCCCAGCAGCGCTTGCAGAGAACGCGGCCGGCGCTTCTTCTTCATCATCAGAGATGAAAAGTTGCAGCTTCTAGCCGTAATATGGTTCACCAATATTTGACCTGCACTTATGTTATACGAGTCGAGCCAGCCAACCGTCAGACAGTGGTTTTTCTTGCATCGACGGGCGAATGAACGAGCCAGCGAGTGCTCCACCGCCGACTTGTTTCACCATTTCTGAAGCACCGCTCGATGCCTCACTCTCTTCTCGCAAACTCTTGCTTCTTCTCCTCCACTTTCATGATAGCGTTCCCGATGGAATATAACTATTGTGTGTGATATTTTTTGCTTGACAACTATTTATCTCGTAATTTTTTTGTATAAAAAAAAAAATGTTTTCCGATAGATATTGAAAAGTTTAGAAAGGTATCTAAATGAAAGAGATTGAACATCAAGCTGATTAGATTCAATTCAAACATCAAAGTTGATTGTTGATTTGATAGTTTTGCTTAAGCTTTTACTGACAATAATCAATAATTTAAATTGATTTTACAAAAAAGTGAATTATTTACATATATTTAATTTTAGGTGTATTAAATTTCAAATATACAATTTTGAGAATTAAAATTTAGTCCTTAAAAATGTTGATGTGAAGTTGTATGACAATGAATAGTTGTGTTTAATGAATCATACCCATGATCCCATCATACCCTTAAGTTAATTTCAACATGACGTTGAATTTAAAATAATTATATTTGGATACTTAATATTATGCGGTATTTTTTCAACAACGTATTGGCTTCAAATTACTAATTAATTTACTATCATTTTGTATTGTTGACGACTTATTTGAACGACAGTTTTTGAAATCTGGATTGTACATTGATTTTAAATCACAGAATAATTTTGCTCAAAATCTTAGTGGTACAAATTTTGTTACATAATATTTGACGGTACGAATACAAAGAAAAATAATCTGTAGATCTTTGAACACCTAAAATCAGTAGTGAAATTAGTTAACAGTAATAATTGTTTCCAGAGAGTATTAATTGTTTATTTAAATTTTTGGCTCAAAATGAGATTTTGTTTAATTTTTATTCTTCAGTTAATGGTTATAGCCTTAAGAGATGAATTATTTCATTATAATTGGTGTTTGTGCTTAGGTAGAGTCTCAAAAATATACCCTGCCGACGTTTTAGCCAATAAACAATAAGGATAATCTCTATAGTAAATCTCTGATAGTTAAGATAAACTCTCTGCTAATGGGACAAATTTTACTAGAGATTTTATCTTTAATGAATTGCGAAGAGTAATCAATATAAATAAAAATGTAGAAAAAATAATGAAAAATTAATGGAATTTACCCCTATCAATAGTTCAATAATTAGGAAACACAAAATTATAAATTTATATTTTTGGTTTATCTAATATAAACAGCGATAAATAGAGAGCATTTATCCGTAACATGTCTAAATTTAAATTAGCTGCCAAAAATGTGATTAAAAATATAAAAAATAAATAATTTATAATAAGATAAAGAATTAAATGCTGATTTAAATATTTTATTTAAAAATATGAGAAAATATTGTTCTTTTAATAATTTGATTACAATATTAATAAGTACTGTGGTTTTAAATTTTAAGCTTGCGCAAAATGAAAAATGTGAGCATGTTCCACTCTAAACATAACTCACCAACCGCAAAGAATCAGGCAAAATAGCAACGTTATGGTAAAGGTGAACGCAAAAATATCAGCAATAAAAAGATTAAAAATTTGGCTGCTTCGCGGCTGGAGAATTGTTCGTTTCACCCTCTGGGGAGTTGTAATGCAATTTTAAGCCACAAAGTAGCGCGCGGATGGCTAATTATAATATGGCACAGGCGCGCGCGTTTTCCGTCCAAAAAGTTGCTCCGTTTGTTCTGCCGTTGCTTGTTTTGCCTGCTTTATTATTATTATTTTCGCTAGCGAGAGAGAGAGAGCGAGCGACATTGAAATGCAAAACTTTGTTGTGCTCCGCGCGTAATAAACAAAAGCCTAATGACACGCAGCAGGGATAATGAGGAGGCGAGCGGCAGAAAAAGAGATTTGGTGCCGCCGCCGACGAGGAGAAAAGCGGCAGGTGAGAATTATTAATGATAAAGAGAGGAAAAGAGCGTTGCGCAAATTATTCTAGCTCGTCTTGAATTTCACTTCGGCTCTTGTTACTCCGGCTGGGTTAAAGGCTAATTATTGTTGTTAACGGTACATAACGTAATTTTAGGCACGCTTAAAATAATGTTTCAAGGTATAATTATGTTATTTATATTAGATAGAAGGATGAAATTTTTTTTTGACGTTACTTATATTATGTAAAATAATTGATTGTTTAAATTCAATTGCAAAAAAGTATTTCAAAAGTTCTCATATGCACCATCAAGAAATTTATGTATAAATAATTTTCAAGACAAAGAACTTACATTAGTTTATAATAATAATCTTCAAAGTAATTTTTCATTTCAACAAATTATAATTTAATGTTAAATCTACGCTTAACAATACATTTCTTACATTATTAATTTAGAATCTAAAACCAATAATTTTGAATTAATTAATTATTTAAAAAAAGGATTATATCAGTGGATGAAAAAATGTTATGTTTCTAAAAAAAATTAACGTTATTCAACTTTAAAATTTGATATTCAGCGGACAACAAATAAAATGTGGCTATAGATTTCAATTCACTTCTTGTTTTTGTTTTCTTTTGACTTCAATATTGAAGTGCTAACTCAACTTTATCCCGCATTATAAAATCGTCAGGATTTCTTAAATATTATGAAAATCACCAGACATTAGAACTGTAGGATGTAAAAGCAAAAAAAAAAAAAAAAATTAATAGTAATATTATAACAATTTTCATCCATTTGAAAATCAATATTCAAATGATGATAGGAGTTGATTTTACTATATAAAAAGATATTAAATGTCACTTTCAATTCCAGAATGAACTGAATTAATGAGAAATTCAAATCCACGAATCGGCACTCATAATGATTAAAGGCGGAAAAATACATAATTGAACTTTGTACTCACCGTGATGAGCGTGTGTTCTAGAGGCCGTGTTGCGATATGTCGATCTTTCCATGGTGCTGCCGTTCACCTGGAGCAAAAGATTCAATTCCCAAATTAATTTTTGTGCCCGACGTGCAAAGTGGAAAGAAAATAACAGGCGCGAAAATCACTTTTGTCGCGTCTCGAGGGCACGCCTATGGCGTTTGACAAATTTGGCCAATTCGAGCTTCGACGCAATGAACGGAGCAAACTCTCTTTTAACACTGGCTGAAAAGCTCTCTGCAGAGATCATTAAAGAAAATCAATGGGGCGTCGATTTTAAGACAATACCAGTCGCGCTGCTGCTGATCGTGAAAAGCGGAGAGGTTATCAAAAATCTGTCACATGAACAGGTGAGGCAGCTTTTCCATTACGTTTGCCGAGCGCAGACAGAACGCCGGCAAAAACGTCATGTTGACATTTTCCTATTGACAAGAGTAATATTGCTCTCGGCTCAAATGTGGACCTGCGAGAAAAAGAGAAGAGTCTTCCAGGTTGCCAGAATGGATGGGAAATGAAGAAAATCCATTATTCAGCTTCAACAGGAGTTTCATTTTTTTAAACATGAAATTAATAATTATTTGTTATCAGCTTTTTTAATGTGCCATTTCTTGGGTATATAAAATTTACATTAGGGAGTTCAATTTTTCCCCATTGTTTTGTCACCCACTTATTTTTCGCATGATACTTCATGACAGGCTGGCGCAAAACTGGGTTGATAAATGAAACGCGCCAATAAATTTGTGTGCTACCTTCTCATGCCTGGCGCCGAGCGTGATGAAAAAATAAGCCACAAAACATTTCAACAAAGGATATTTTCGTGTAGTAAATTTATCAAAAAAAGTGGCGCAGCAGCCTTTTTTTCCTCTTTTTATCTGCACGCTCTGCTTTCTTCCTCTGCCGTGCTTTTATCCGGCACTTTTATTGTGCTGGCCGCAAACAGGCGGCAGGTAAAATTGTTTGTTATCTCGTTCTTTATGCAAGCCATTTTCTCTTTCATAATTTAGTTACTCCGCCTGATAAGCGTGCGCGGCCCATTCTTTAATTTCCCATCCCCCATGGCGTTATTTGCGGTGGCTTGCAAATTTTGGTTTGCTTTAAAGTGAAACAGAATAACAAAAAAAGGCAGATTATTTTCAGCAACTGATTTATTTTTTTTAATTTGAAAAATAATGCTTTCACAAAGTTTTTTCCGAATTTGTGGTGCAAAATTTTGCCTAAATAAAAGTATTTTGATGTGTGAGCAGCACTTTGGATTAGAACCAACTAGTCAAAAAATACGACTCGCAATAAAATGGATGGAGTTTTGAATCTAAACTAAAACATAATCCACGCAGGCTGGAGCTGGAAATTCGGGGCCACATTAATTATTTGCGAGTCCAAACTCCCGGAAAGTTCATTTTGCGAGGAGATTGCCGCAGCTCAGAGCGGGGTGATTATGATTTTTTTCCGCAGCAGCCAGCACGCAAATTGATATTCCCATTTTTCGCAAATGCTTCATCCCTCTGCATGAAAGGGGAGGATTTTGCAGACCGCAGGGGTCAGTCACAAGGGGCCGTAAGAGGCTTAAAATGCGCGCGTCCAGCAGCAAGAACAAAGACTGCGAGCTGCTCTCGCCGCGCTGGAACGGCCCGGGACTAATCCGACGGCTGGCTTGTCATTTCGCCGCATGATAAAATATATTTTATCGTTCTCTGCCTCACATCGCAGCTCAACCGGGCAGTGAAAAATAGTTGAATTCTCCTTCTTAAGCAGCCATCAAAACAATTTAAATATTAACAGATTCAGTACATGATGCAAACATGACAGAGACGTTATGAGCAACTAAGTCAGTCTTTACAAACAAATTAATCACACCTAGATGAACACAAATTTTAATTTATTTTTATTTTATGCGTGAATGAACAACAAATACACGGGGAGTCCCAATTCTCAATATAATTTTCTATAATTTATAAATGTAATTAAAATAAATTAAATAAAATATTTTTTTACAAAATAAAAAAAAAACATATTTTCATAGTAATAAAAGCGAACATAAAAAATATGTAGGGAAAAATATAAAATTAATGTTTTGCACTAAAGATTTATATTCAAAATATAGCTTTAAGTTATTAATTAAAAAAATTAATACAATTCAAATTAAATTGAATATTGTCAGTCGAGAAAAGTAAAAAACTTTTTACTTTTTAACACTTCCCTAGACAGGAACAAAAAAGCATTTTATCTGTCCTGCATTTTCATCTGTCCCCTATAATTATGTTATGATCGCCCAACTCCTAGTTTTGTCTTTGATTGGGCTGCTCTATCTCTCGAACAAGGAAAACAGACGGACTTTTTTCTATCTCTGTTATTTCTGCCGTCGGCGCGCGTACTGTGTTGTTATTTCTGCGTCCTCAGGTCGTATTTTTTTCAGTTTCATCAACATCACGCTCCTTCGTGGGCTAATTAGATGCTTAGAGAGACGGAGGCGCTCGTCAGGTCGGGTAATCAGGACTCCATCTACGCCGTGATACCTGCGTTCACCCAGTAGATAAGTGAGCGATAAGGGTCGGTCTCGGTCTTTCTTCTGCTATTTACGAGCGAGGCAGGTGTTAAAACGCCCTATTAATAGGTAGCCAGGTAATGACAGGCCGTGCTAGGAAAATGAAAGAGCGAACGGGAATTCAGTGTGCGCGTCTTTAATAACTCATTCGGAACGCCCTGTGTCAAATATATTGAGCATCCGAAGCAGCTTATTTATTATAGTTAAATAATTTACCAAACTGCTTTAGATTAGAGATTGTACAAGGTCAATCTAATCACAGCAGCACAGGAAATTTTTTTTCTTTTTAAATAAAACTAATTATAAACTTACATTTGATTTTATTATTTTAATAAGGGGGAATCCTGAAAGTTCAATATTATACAACCGAAGTTTGGCTCAAATTTTGTAAGAAAGTCACCGCCAAACCGAATGGCCAAGTTGGTTCTGCGTGGAACCACTTTCGCCTACTCACTCACTCTCATCCTCTCTCTCTGCTGTGGGAACCACAACAAAGGGAATCTCCTCTCAAAAGTTAAACTCCGCTTGCAGAGCGTAATTAATTTCCCATGTATTATTATTACTATTGCATTTGAGACCCCCTGAAATTGGAACCTTTTGTTAGTCGGCCTGGGAGAATGAAAGCTTGAATAATAATAATGATCGTGGACCTGGGTGGAGAGATTGGGACCAGAGGATAAGTAGATATAGAATGTATAGAAGGGTGGATCAAATGACCACATTTATTGATTGAAAACGATTAAATAATGCACATAACATTAAATTTTTCTCACAGCTTTAGTATTAAAAGTTGATTTTTTGCAAAATATTTGTTAAAATTGAAAAGCATCAAATGCTTTTTTTATTCTCAGAAGAATGCTATTTATTGAAACCAATTTAATGGTCAAATAATTATGTAAGTATTTATATTTTATAACTTTTCAACTTAAGACTGAGGTTTTCCAAGATATAATTATTTTTAAATTTTTATAAGATTATGATCAGTCGCATTGAAATAAATAATTTAAATTGATTATAACATTATTTAAAATAAAATATTCAACTGCCTTTACGTTCGTTATTGCAAATCCTGTTGTAATAAAACCTATGTATATCAATTCTAAAATTTAGAAAATAAAATAAGATTTAATCTTCAAATAAACAGAAATAAAGCACGTAATGAAAATATTAAGTTTATTAAGCTTTTAATTTTATAATATTAGTTTAATTTTTATTCTAGACAACACACCATATCAAATTGATTTTGTGTGAGCGAAACATCTCGCGTGCAAATGCCAGCAAGAATGCGTGTGAGCAGCGACATCGAAATTAAAGTGCACGTTTGTCTGTAATTGATGGCCACGCTGGCATTTCGATTTGAAGCGGTGTTGATGAAAGCGCTGGAGAGAACAAAACGCACGTCTCAGACGAAAGGAGCGGTAAAAAACAACAAATCGGAAATTAGACCGGCTCTACGAGGAGGGAGGAAAAACAATGAATCGTGCAGCACAATGCGAGACATCAGAGATTTGGTGAGTGAAAAATGAAGCGTGCAAAATTGAAACAAATTACACGAGGGGACGGGAAAAGGCGTCGGAAAGGAAAAAAGGCGAGCGCAATTGAGATTTTAATTGTGACTTACTGCACGACTGACTAATTCAAACGATAATTTACAATCGCTGCACCCCCGCATTTCTTTGCCACCCCCTTTCCTTTCCGTGAAAAACTCAATTAATCGGCGCAAGAAAAAATTGTGCCTGGTGTGACACGTGAAAAATTCGCAGACGGGGATAATTTGTATTTATTAATAATAATTCCACTGCAGCAGCGCAATAATTTGAGAGATTAAACGGGCAAAGAGTGTGCGGCAGCTGCACTAGCGCCGGCCCTATTTGTCATTCAGCCGGAATGAGAAATGATTCGGGAGCGGCTGCTGCTAATAAATGGCGGCTTGTCATGAAATATACAAATATATCCAACACACACATGCAACGCCCAAAGCCACTCTTTGCCCCGCGGCACTCGATGAACCAGCGACCAAATTGAATCAATCGAAATCTATTGGAAGGCAGCCGCGGATGTTTTGAATAATAAATGCTGCGCCGCTGATAACTGACAAAACGGCTGGCCAACATTAATAATGCACCACCATTCGTCACTACACAGATTTCCTCTTCTATCTGGAACGAATAATGGGCATTTCCCACAAAGTCGATGTAAATTTTGCTGATATTCCCTTCTCCTAATTGTAAATTTTAGGTTCTCTTCACCCGATGAAGCTCATAATTCATTCATTTGATAAATACAGTATAAAAATGAAATTAAAACAATAGAAATAAACATTTTTTTTGTAACTTTCAATTTCATTAGACATAATTGCATTGGAATTTAATAATGTAAGTTCCAAAGATCACTCGAAATATTCAATATCTAATTGCTTTCATACAGATACATAGAGCATTTTGGATTTCAAGAGATTTTATTTTATTTACAAATTTACAATAAAAAAGCAATTTATTTTTTAA